GGGGGCAGGGGGGCAAAGTTGCAATTTTTTCAAAACTTTAAAAATCGATATCTCGCGAACGGTTTGAGTGTAAGTGTTGCGGTTTGCGCTAAAAAACGTTAAAAAATATTCTCTACACGAATATTGATGCTCTTTGCATGGTTGCGTAATTTATCGTAGTTATAAATCGATTTTTTCGATTTTGAAGGTTCGACTTTTTTTCGTTTTTCGTCTCTCCTCTCCAGGCGATCGTTGCTATGTAAATAAAAAAAAGTTGAGGTGATTCTCCATAAAATTCTGCATCTACCACACTTTGATTGACCTTGGGGAAAAGATTCATTCTTGAGTTATAGCGATTTTTCTGCGCATTCCCGGTTACGCGCGGGCGGCATATCGGCGGCGCTCCATCCCCCCCGGGCGAGGCAGAGGTTGTTTCACTGCTAGGGCCTTATATTCATGCTGTAGGCTGTAATTATTGATATTTTCTCCTTCCCCCACCCTTCCCCTCCTATAAATATGTTTTTTATACTTCGTTGTACAGGGTGTCCCGGACCACCCGTAGCAGGTCTTTTTCTCGGTTGGTTTAGGTAGCACGAAGTGGGGGACCGCGGATTAACAGGGAATTGACCCCAAGGTATCCGAATTTTATGGTCCCGAAACTCTCCATGCCGCCCTTGGGGAGTAAAGAGGGGGTCACGATTTCTAAAGTCGGGAGACATTGTGCCTCCCTCTTTTACCCCCCAAGGGAGGGTAGGGGGGCTTCGGGACCATGAAATTCGGATACCTTGGGGTCAATTCCCTGTTAATCCGCGGTCCCCCACTTCGTACTACCTAAACCAACCGAGAAAAAGACCTGCTACGGGTGGTCCGGGACACCCTGTATAACGAAGTATAAAAAACATATTTATAGGAGGGGAAGGGTGGGGGAAGGAGAAAATATCAATAATTACAGCCTACAGCATGAATATAAGGCCGTAGCAGTGAAACAACTTCTGCCTTGCCCGGGGGGGATGGAGTGCCGCCGATATGCCGCCCGCGCGTAACCGGGAACGCGCAGAAAAATTGCTATAACTCAAGAATGAATCGTTTCTCCAAGGTCAAACAAAGTGTGGTAGATGCAGAATTTTATGGAGAATCACCTCAACTTTTTTTTATTTACATAGCAACGATCGCCTGGAGAGGAGAGACAAAAAACGAAAAAAAGTCGAACCTTCAAATTCGAAAAAATCGATTTATAACTACGATAAATTACGCAGCCATGCAAAGAGCATCAATATTCGTGTAGAGAATATTTTTTAACGTTTTTTAGCGCAAACCGCAACACTTACACTCAAACCGTTCGCGAGATATCGATTTTTAAAGTTTTGAAAAAATTGCAACTTTGCCCCCCTGCCCCCTCCCCTCTAATTATCCGAGGGGGCTGAAATTTTGCTCAAGCATCGGGGACACTTATTACAACATCTGAGCAAAGTTTGGGCCAAATCCAGGGGGGGCCAAAATCGGCGTTTTTGGAACAACCTCTTTTGGGGAGACGCGGCGGGGGGTCAAAGTTAAAAACCGGCAAAATTGAACTTTAATTTATTACTCGAAAACCAAGAAGTTTCGAAGGACGCGGTCTAGACGAGCGTTTTCAGAGTGACAAGAGCTTTTAGAAAATGTAGAGCATAATAGGGTTTTGTCAACTTCAGCTCGTTTTATCGTCTGCGAAGCGACGGAACGCTCAAAAAGACTCTTTTTAGGTAGATTTCGAAGAAATATCTACCTATTGCAGACGGTACGACATCGTAATTTTCGGGAATTTTCGCTCAAAGAGCATCGATCCTGAAGCCCTGAGTTGAAAAATGTAGGTCATAAAAAAGTACGAGATATATATATAGATATATATATATAACTGGGATCTAACGAACCTTTGCGACCGTTTTTTTCCGGAACTATCCATACGATCAAAACGAAACTAAGCATGGTTCTTCACTGCTATGAGGTCTAGATCAAGTTTCCTTTTTCGTGAAAATCGATCCACCCCTTATCCGGAAAAACTCAAGTCCAAAGGGGGGTGATTTTTCAAACTCGTCCGATCTTAGTCGGTGATACGTCAAAAAACTCGTCTCGTCGTGGCCTTCAAAACAACCTATATTCACCTACCCTCTAAAACCACCCCTTATTCGGAAAATCTCAAGTCCAAAGGGGGATGATTTTTCAAACTCGTCCGATCTTAGTCGGTGATACGTCAAAAAACTCGTCTCGTCGCGGCCTTCAAAACAACCTATCTTCACCTACCCTCTAAAACCACCCCTTATCCAGAAAATCTCAAGTCCAAAGGGGGGTGATTTTTCAAACTCGTCCGATCTTAGTCGGTGATACGTCAAAAAACTCGTCTCGTCGTGGCCTTCAAAACAACCTATCTTCACCTACCCTCTAAGACCACCCCTTATCCGAAAAATCTCAAGTTCGAGGGGGACGATTTTCCGACCTGTCAGGCTCATTAGGCGCAATTGTTTTCACAGAAACGATTAGTCGAAATCTACCTCTCGTTTCCACTGTGGCTGGAAAGCGTTTTTTTACGTTCGGGCCGATATCAAAGAAACGAGAGGGTACGCCCTCTGGCCGCTACGCAGCCCAACCCCCTGACGGCGGCCCGCGCCATCAATGGGCTTTTAGCCTTTTATCAACGTTGGTTTTATTTTTTCCCTAAAAAAATTACAATATGGGGTATACTTTCCTTTTATAATGAAATAATTTCTTTTTTCTATGAATAAAGAAAATACAAATTTGAAGTCAAAAGGACGCGTTATGCAATGACTGATTAATGAAACATTGCAGTAAAACGACGAATGATGATAATCAGGTCATAATTTGAGTAGCCGAGGAGCCAAGAATCGAACCCCTACCCCTCGAAATGTGCCGGCGCAATCGACGCCATTGACGACTCGGCCACTGAACGTCTTAATCTTCAGGCGGTGAATCTTGCGCACATAAGTATAGAGCTGATGCGCAGGCTACAAAGCAACTGCGCAACCTCCTCGGCCACTGCGCATCCTCCCGAGCATACCGATAGCAGTCTCGGAGCATTCTGTAAATTCACTCACTTTTATAACGTGATAGTAAACAATCGGCCCGGTAGAACGCTGATTCTAAGCGTTACCAGGTGCGCAAAATTAGGAGGTCTCGGAGCTTAGAGTAGAAGCCATTTTTTTTATTTTGATGATAAGATGTTGAGATGTTGAGATGTCAAGATGTTGTTCCTAACTCTCTGTAGCCCCTTTACCTCTTTACCGCATGCTGATGCAATGTTTTGGTCGCGAGTTATGAGAGCAGAAAGGAGCGAAGGTCGGGAAAATCGGCTATTTTAAACTGCGCGCGCGGCGTTGATCGGAAGAACGTTCCCTCCCGCTTAGTTCTGCGAATCACACTCCCCGGCCGAACTCGCTTTGTTGCCAGTGTCCTCCGATCAACGCCGCGCACGCAGTTTTCAGTTTTCCATCAAAATATTTTTTTTTTTTTTTTTTTTTTTTTTTTTTTTTTTTTTTTTTAATCGTCCCGAACGTAAAAAAAGGGTCTTCTTTGAGCGTTCTAGCGCTTCGGAGGCGATAACTCGAGCTGAAGCAGACAAAACCCTATGATGCTCTACATTTTCTGAAAGCTCTCGTCACTCTAAAAACGCTCGTCTAAACCGCGTCTTTCAAAACTTCTTGGTTTTCGAGTAATAAATTCGCGAAAATTTGGCCGGTTTTTAACTCTGACCCGCCGCCGCGTTTCCTCAAAATTTTTGGGGAACTTGAACTTTGGGAAAAGATGGGGCATTGTGTGGTGAATGAGTAGGGCAAGTCTCAAAGGTATCCACCCCGAGCCCAAAATGGCCCGTTTTGCACGTACTCCTTTTACAGGAATATTTTGGTTCAAAAGGTTTTTTTACAG